CCGGAGCAGGAGCAGAGTTGCACTGGGAGCGCTGTGGAGCTGTGGAATACACTGGAGTAAGGCAAGGCGAGTTTATTGGTATAGCACAGTTCATACACAAGGCAAGTCCACGCGCTGAGCAAAACAAGAAAGACACTTACACAAGGCAGTAATCCCACTACTTTTAAAGAGTAAAGATACAATTCCTCAGTTAAATGCATAAATAGACAAGACTGTTTATAACCTGGATTAACATTGTCAGAGACTGTTTCATATTTTCAGGAAGACTGTTCCAGAATTTAGATACATGAATCTGAAATGCTGCCTAATATTTAGTCCGGACTCTGGGACCAGCAGGGGGCCCCTGTGCTCCTCAGAGTCCCAGCAGGAGGCCCCTGTGCTCCTCAGAGTCCCAGCAGGAGGCCAGTCCCTGTGCTCCTCAGAGTCCCAGCAGGAGGCCAGTCCCTGTGCTCCTCAGAGTCCCAGCAGGAGGCCAGTCCCTGTGCTCCTCAGAGTCCCAGCAGGAGGCCAGTCCCTGTGCTCCTCAGAGTCCCAACAGGAGGCCCCTGTGCTCCTCAGAGTCCCAGCAGGAGGCCCCTGTGCTCCTCAGAGTCCCAGCAGGAGGCCCCTGTGCTCCTCAGAGTCCCAGCAGGAGGCCAGTCCCTGTGTGTTCTCTGAGTCAAAGGTGCAGAGACCTGAGACCAGGACTAATGTGGTTGTACTTCCTGGTTCTTGTCAGGACTCGAGCTGCAGAATCTACTTACGTTCTATAAAGTTCATGTTTTGTGGTCTCAAATTCAGGCTTTAAGTCCAAAATGTCAGGTACCCGAGCTATAATGCTGGGATTATTACCACGGCCTTTGCTCACACTGACCCGGTGACTTTGGGCTCACTTTCCCGCTGCTGCTAACCACTCAGACACCAGAGGAATGTAATTACAGAGAGTCCATAGTGTCACTGCCGCACTCGCCGACCCCTCTGCTCAAGACAAGATGTGGAGACTGAAGGGGGAGAGGGGGAGGGGGGGAGAGGGGGAGGGAGGGCGGGTCAATCAATGAACCAGAGGTGGGGGTCACGGCTCCTGCTCTTGACGAGGGAAAGCGAGTGAAGAAGCCAGAATGTGTCCCGTCAGGCTACTTCATGGATGGATCCTGGACGTGTCATCAGGACTCTGGGGTGACTCTGAGGTGACTGGGGTGACTCTGGGGTGACTCTGAGGTGACTGGGGTGACTCTGGGGTGACTCTGAGGTGACTCTGAGGTGACTCTGAGGTGACTCTGAGGTGACTGGGGTGACTCTGGGGTGACTCTGAGGTGACTCTGAGGTGACTCTGAGGTGACTCTGAGGTGACTGGGGTGACTCTGGGGTAACTCTTGGGTGACTCTGGGATGACTCTGGGGTAACTGGGGTGACTCTGGGGTGACAGGGGTGACTCTGGGGTGACTCTGAGGTGACTGGGGTGACTCTGGGGTGACTGGGGTGACTCAAGGGTGACTCTGGTGGTGACTGGGGGTGACTCTGGGGTGACACTGGGGTGACTCTGGGGTGACTGGGGTGACTCTGAGGTGACTCTGGGGTGACTCTGGGATGACACTGGGGTGACTCAAGGGTGACTCAAGGGTGACTCTGGGGGTGACTCTGGTGGTGACTCTGGGGTGACTCTGGGCGACTCTGGGTGACTCTGGGGTTACTCTGGGGTGACTGGGGGTGACTCTGGGGTGACTCTGGGGTGACTGGGGTGACTCTGGGTGACTCTTGGGTGACTCTGGGGCGACTCTGGAGTGACTCTGGGGTGACTCTGGGACTGGGGTGACTCTGTGATGACTCTGGGGGTGACTCTGGGTGACTCTGGGGTGACTCTAGGGTGACTCTAGGGTGACTCTGGGGTGACTCTGGAGTCACTTTGGGGTGACTCACGGGTGACTCTGGGGTGATTCTGGGGGTGACTCTGGGTTGGGGGTGACTCTGGAATCACTTTGGGTTGACTCACGGGTGACTCTGGGGGTGACTCTGAGGGTGACTCTGGGGGTGACTCTGAGGGTGACTCTGAGGGTGACTCTGGAGTCACTTTGGGGTGACTCACGGGTGACTCTGGGGGTGACTCTGAGGGTGACTCTGGGGTGACTCTGGGGGTGACTCTGGGTGACTCTAGGGTGACTCTGGAGTCACTTTGGGGTGACTCACGGGTGACTCTGGGGGTGACTCTAGGGTGACTCTGGAGTCACTTTGGGGTGACTCACGGGTGACTCTGGGGGTGACTCTGAGGGTGACTCTGAGGGTGACTCTGGGGTGACTCTGGGGGTGACTCTGAGGGTGACTCTGAGGGTGACTCTGGGGGTGACTCTGAGGGTGACTCTGAGGGTGACTCTGAGGGTGACTCTGGGGTGACTCTGTAGCTTGTGCCTGATCCTGCAAAAACAAAAGCAGGTCCTGGATCCGAGACTGCAGCTGACTCACCCCAGAGGGGGGAGGAGGGGGGAAGAGAGGGGGGAGGCACATTACTACCGCAGTTGCCATGGAAATGCACACACACAAAACATATTTCTCATACGCTGCAAGAAAGTGATGAAAAATAAGTCAAAAATTGCTAAAATTTTGCTAAATCTGTCTTAATCTGAGTACACTTTGACTGAGCCTTAAAACCAGATTCTCCAACGGGACAAAGCAAAAGGATCCTGTTTTATAAATATTCTAGAAATGTCTCCCTTTGAATGAGAAAATTTCCAGAATAATCCAGATTATTTTGTTCTTACAATATTCTGTTATTATTATTCTTATTTTCTGGCTGTTACTTTAATTAATATATTAATATACAGAACCTCTTTGTTTTGAGGCACTTTAGCATCAAACTGTAATGTGGTAAAGGCTTATAACAGTAAAGTGTGTCCTGCATTCTTGAAAATCCAAAAAAAGAAACAAAATGAGGCTGCTGTCTTCAGGGAGTGAATGTGAAAGGGTTAAGGTTCCGTTGGTGTCCTGCCCTGACGTGTCCCGCTCCACGGCCTCGCTCCTCCAGGAATGACGGGATTCTGGATCAGCATCTTCGTGTTGCAACAGGGACCACAGCCACAAACCCGGCCCGAGAAATCCTCGAAGGTCGCTGGGTCTGGAGCTTTCAAATAGTTATGAAGCAGTTTTCTGTGTTGGTATCGGTACTACTGAAGCCACAGCTGCCCCGGGGTAGACTAATGGAAGAGAGGCAACACATCTGTGCCTCTGGTTTGTGTTTAGTTTAGTTGTTTCATTAGTTTGCGACTGTAAACTGGACTAGACTCAGAACTGGGTCTTGGAGCAGTTTGTAAACATGTGGCCAAAAGTGGTACTGCAGCCTCTCCCACTCTCTCTGACTCAGGTTGCCAGATATGCAGACGAATCCAGCTGGGACCATAACAGCTGAATAGACAAGAGTTTTGTCAACAACAAATCTATAACCAACACCTTTTTCACAAAGATAGAAATTCCTTGTTTTGTCGTTAATGATTTGAGAATCATAACGAGACCTTTTTTAGTTCTGTGCCACATGGTACTTTACCAGTGAGATTAACTCCACGCGGTGAGTTCTGGCGCCCGGATCACAGACTTTCTGATTGGTGAAACGGTGGAGGGCGGGACATCGATATGAAAACAATAACAAGATTTAGAGGCTGGAAAAGTAATTTAGAAATTCAATTATCTCTGAACAACTGTTATCAGTTAAAGAAGGATTGGAAAAGAACAGATTATTATTATGACAGATTAGGGCCCTTTAATGATGACATATTAGGGCCCTTTAACGACGACAGATTAGGCCCCTTTAATGATGACAGATTAGGGACCTTTAATGACGACAGATTATGGCCCTTTAATGATGACAGATTAGGGCCCTTTAATGATGACAGATTATGGCCCTTTAATGATGACAGATTATGGCCCTTTAATGATGACAGATTATGGCCCTTTAATGATGACAGATTATGGCCCTTTAATGATGACAGATTAGGGCCCTTTAATGATGACAGATTATGGCCCTTTAATGATGACAGATTATGGCCCTTTAATGATGACAGATTATGGCCCTTTAATGATGACAGATTATGGCCCTTTAATGATGATCTTTTATTTTTGTGCTGTTTGTAGGAAATACTGCACTGTAAAATCGTAGTTGGCAGATAACTACGATAACTACAAGTTGGAATAAACTTGTTCATATCCTGCTGTGGCCTGAACGTGTGCGTCCAATGTGCACACACAACTACACAACAGAGAAAGTGTATGTCCTGTCATAAGGGCAGCACGGTTTGCATGTTCTCCCTGTGTCTGCGTCGGTATCTTCTACAAACATGCACAATTTCACTCAGTCACAACCGAAGACCACTTTCTACCACCATCATATACATACATTTATTTATGATATATATATATATATATATATATATATATATATATATATATATATATATATATATAAAAACCTGCTGCCTTGCGTTAGCCTATTTATGTCATCTAGTTTCCATGGTTACTGCAGCAAAGATGACGTCACAGGTTTCAGTAAAAGTCATCACAGCCGTAGTTTAAAGACAGATACAGCAAATGTGGACTTTAAATCAAAAATAGACCTTTAGTCGTTTAAGATCAAGTCAAAATGAACCCATATTTAATGATGGTAAGTTTCAAATGTATTTTATATTTTCTTGAAGACGCTGTGAGACATTAATCCCATCCATCCATTTTCTTCCGCTGTATCCGTTGCCGGGTCTGAGCAGAGACGTCCCTCTCCACACACACTTCCTCCATGAAAGAACATCCATCCATTTTCTTCCCCTTAATCCATTTCCCGGTCGGGGGGGTGGCAGTCAGAGCTGCACCCAGTCACAGAGCACCAGCCCCTCACTGATCCTCTGCAGGTGCTGAGTCCACAGGAGCTGAGATCTTTCAGTGGAGGCTTCAGGCAAAGTGGGGTTTAGTGTCTTGCCCAACGACACAACGACAGCAGTCATCAGTGGGAGTCGTGAAGTAGGTCTTACGGTGGGCTTGAACCCACGACCTTCAGGCCCAAAGGCCAATGCTCTACCAACTGAGCCACTGTCGCCCCCATGAAAGAACAATGACACATAAACTACAAACAGGAACAAAACAAGTCCCAAAGTCTGGAAGACCTCAGAAGGTGAAGAGTGAGGGTCCAAAACTAAAGCCGTCAGTTTGACTGCAGTCTCTTCTTGTGTTTTTAAGTAAATCACAGAGATCTTAAGCTGTTGTGTGGAAACATGTGTCGGCTCTGGCTACAGGTGAAAACAAGTGGTTTAGTTATAATGAAGGCGAGGCGAGTTTATTTGTATAGCACCGTTCAACTCAAAGCCTTCAACAAAGAATAATAATAATGTGAAATCCTCCACGAGCAGAAAACAAAACTTCTCATTGTGGGTTTTGTTTTTCATTGAAATTAAAACAGTGTCTTTTCAATAATCTACAAAGGACTCGCTGTGTGTGCAGAGCGCAGACTGTGTGAGTGTATCGCCCCCTACTGGAACAACACAGGAACTACAGCCTGAGAAATCCACACATTCTAACATTATTTTAACTTTTAGACTTTTCAATTTTGACGTCATGCACGCGTTGTTTCATGACTCATGGATTGGATCTTATTGCAACACTTAAATTGTTAAACGTTCGTGCTTAGTGTATTTTGTTGGACACCGACCGAATAAATACATAAATAAAACACAGGGAAAGTGTCAGTCAGTTGCTAGGTAGATGTTCAATATGGCCATGTAGAAAAAGGATAATATATGCTCAATAAATTCTGCACTAATTAGCACTTAATAAAAGTGTGACCCTTTTTTCCCCTTCCAGTTCGACAGATGCATTTTAAAATATAATTGTAGTATTAATGTTAAAGTAGTGGTTTAGAGGCTATTCTGGACACGCCACATGTCATCAGTCTTTCACATTCTAACTATGTCATTCTAATGTGTGTCTTGCCAAAGGACACAACCCCAGTTTGGCACTTTACAGCCGCAGCCGCCCCACTGTGGCACCTGGTGTTCTCAGAGAGGTCTCCCATCACAGCACTAACCTGGCTCTGCCCTGCTTAGCTTCAGAGGTCCACACGGCCCCAGGAATGATTAATGACGGCAGTTTATTTTTACCAAGTGACATTTGTGACTGCAACAATACAATTATTCTAAACACAATCCTCGACAATAATCCAAACTTTTCTCTGTAGTTTTAGATTTGTTGATGCTTCTTTGGGCTCAGTCAAAATGTGGAAGAAAAATGCTGTAAATATGTACGCTTATTTTTATGCTTATTGTTTTTGTGTGATGTCTTTCTCATCTGGACCTCGTGTCTGTAATAGTTTAATAATAATAAATAAATAATGCTTATGTTGTAAGAATCTGTATCTTCAACGACAAATTTCTTACTTTTTTGTTACTTTATCTTAGTAATTATTATTCACTTCTTCTACTGTAAAGGTGCACTGTATTAATCCCCGTAGGGCAATTCAATCCTCTGCATTTGACCCATCCTGATGCCACTAAGGCTTACATCAGGAGCAGTGGTCGCCGTAGTAACAGCACCCGGAAACCCATCTCCAGATGTTGATGCTCGGCTTAGTCAGGACCAGAGCTGGAGGATTTAACCAAGTGTGAGCATAATTTTAGAGGTAGGGGAAACCGGAGCACCTGGAGGAAACCTATGCAAGCGCAGGGAGAACATGCAAACTCCACTCAGAAAGACCCCGTTCCGACCGGGATTCAAACCGAGGACCACGTTAAACGACGACAGTCAAAGATGAAGCCATTTTGAGTTTATTTTCAAAGTCCTTCCTCGTGACACACTGAAGTCGCCGGCGCTAATCCATTAAAGTCGTTAAAACAAGACACAGGTGAGATTCACGTCTGTGCACTTTCAAAACCGCCCAAAGACATTTAAAAAAACGCCTTTTTGAGGTGAACACAAAAAGTGCAAAATACAGGAAAATGGATCAGATTTCAAATGTCAGGATCTTTGAATGCGACGCCTCGAGTTGCAAAATGCCGGAAACTTTTCATGTGAATTAACCGGAATAAACTGGACATTTCTAAATAGGGAACTTAAATATAGTTGAGGAAAGTATATTTTAGCCTAATATTTAATAAAACAATCAGATTAAAACACACTTGTTTATGTCACTCCTAATCTCTGCTGTTCTTTCACTGTTTATTATTGTATGACTTTTTACTGCTATAATCTTTAAGGCAGGCATGTCCAAACTCAGGCCCGGGGGACACATGCGGCCCTCAATGTCATGTTATGTGGCCCTCTGCCTCGCTAACCCAAAGTAGTCTTTCAGATCATAAACACAAGTTCACTTAGTCATCCATCCAACTTCAGCTCAGCCCATATAGACCTTGTTCTAAAGCCCAGTACATAACAGTGCACATACTGTACTGAAGTCTTTTTTAATTGTGTCACTTCCATTAATGATGCTGATGTAGCTAGTGAGAACAACGGGTTAATGTTTATCATTCAGCCAACTTCAGCTCTGGTATAGATCATAAACCTCAGAACAGCCCGATGTCAGTCAAGACAGTTTTTCAGTCCGTGATGTCGGCCCCTGGACTAGTCTGGTGAAGTAAAGTGGCCCTCTTCCAAAAAGCTTTAGGCAGACTACGTGCATCTGTCCAGGGACGGCTGATGAAAAATAACCTAGACTTTGCTAACACTGGTGAAGTTACACAAATGTTTATGAATGCAAAAAATCCCACACTGCTACAGAGGCCACGCCCCCAATCTTTATGTTTTCTTCTGTTTATATTTATGCTTGGATATGATTATTTCCGAGTTAGTTCCCACAAATATTCCGGCTCAACTTTCCACAGGAATTTAAGAGAAAAGTTCCACCATTTTGCAACTCCAGACTCCACCCATGAGCGCCTCTCTGACTCTGGGCTCTCATCCTGCAGCAAACGTTCACAGCTCGTCTGAAAAACCTGAATCAGTTCAAAATGAAACTTTTCTGCAGCGCGACAGAAAACGGACACTTTACAAAGTCACCTCCAAAGGCCACAGTGAATCCAAACGACTCGCTCTGTTTGTCCGCGACGGCTTCACAGAGAACCCTCACTCACTCTCTCACTCACAGCGACAAGAGGAAGAGCGGATCAGAGAGAACCCTCACTCATTCATTCACTCATTCACTCTCTCTCTCTCACTCACAGCGACAAGAGGAAGAGCGGATCAGAGAGAACCCTCACTCATTCATTCACTCATTCACTCTCTCTCTCTCACTCACAGCGACAAGAGGGAGAGCGGATCAAAGAGAACCATGAATAGAAAAGACAATAGATGTCGTCACACACAGAGACAACACTGAAGTGAAGCCGAGGAGAGGGACAGCTTTGAGGATGGAGGAGATGGGGGAGATGGGAGCTAGGGAGGAGACAGGGGAGAGAGATGGAGGAGATGGAGGAGACAGGGGAGAGAGATGGAGGAGATGGGGGAGATGGAGGAGATGGGGTTTTGCATAAAAGGATCCCACGACGGCTCATTCTCAGACGCTGAATAAGTCACTTTTCGTCACATTCTTTTTGCAGCTCAGAAAAACCGCTGAATCTTCTTCCATTAAAAAGTTCGACAAAAAGTACATTTTTTTGACCAATATTTAACACCACTGACTTTTGTAAAAAATGTTTCACGATTTGGTGCCGACTGGAAACGAACTGAGCCTCTGTTCAGTTCAAATAAATGATTCATAAAATGTCTGAGTTTCATCCTTTCTCTTCTTCGCTCTTTGCAGAGTGTGCTGCCCTCTGCTGGAGAAACACAATCATGACAAAGCTCCCGGGTCCGCAGCAGCACACAGGGCTCCTACGCCACTCCCCATACATAAAATAAATATATATATTTTAGAATATATATATATATAGAGAGAGAAAGAGAGTTAACATTATTCTATTCCCTTTGATTTGTCTCAATAAATGCTAATAAAACAATAATAGACTGAACATGTAGGAACCCTGAGCATGTGGGAGGTGCCTTGCTCACTGGCTCCTGTCCGTGGAGGTCCATAAAACAGCAGCAAGAGATAGTTTTGGTCTGCACCACACGCACAGACTGGGCACGTGTGCAAAGTCTCCTCGGTCTCCTATAGTGTTACAGCACATAGATCAGGGTGGGGGGGGGGTGGGGGTCGGTCTCCCATCATGACGTGCCCTGCCTCTTCTGTTGCTGTACGCGGATGAGCTCCAGCTGTTTCTTGCACTTCTGGTAGTAGGTGGACAGGCTTTTGTTCTCCTCCAGCAGCTTCTTGTGCTCCTGCACCAGACGGGAGGTGTTCTGCTGGTCCTTCTCGTCCTGGTCCAGTTCAGCGATGAGCTCCTTCCTGAAGATGGAGCGAGAAAATGAGGTAAACAGGAAGTAAGGTCAACAGGAAGTAAGGTCAACAGGAAGTAAGGTAAATGCAGGAAATAAGATAAACACAAAGGCGACCGATGAGGTTCAAGTTCAAGCTCTCTCATACACTCACACTCACTCACACACGCGCGCTCTCTCACTCACACACACACGCTCTCTCACTCACACACACGCTCTCTCACTCACACACACACGCTCTCTCACTCACACACACACGCTCTCTCACTCACACACACGCTCTCTCACTCACACACACACGCTCTCTCACTCACACACACACGCTCTCTCACTCACACACACGCGCTCTCTCACTCACACACACGCTCTCTCACTCACACACACACGCTCTCTCACTCACACACACACGCGCTCTCTCACTCACACACACACGCTCTCTCACTCACACACACACACGCTCTCTCACTCACACACACACGCTCTCTCACTCACACACACACGCTCTCTCACTCACACACACACGCTCTCTCACTCACACACACACGCTCTCTCACTCACTCACACACACGCGCTCTCTCACTCACTCACACACGCGCTCTCTCACACACACGCGCTCTCTCACTCACTCACACACGCGCTCTCTCACACACACACACGCGCTCTCTCACTCACACACACACGCGCTCTCTCCTCACACACACACGCGCTCTCACACACACACGCGCTCTCTCACTCACACACACGCTCTCTCACTCACTCACACACGCGCTCTCACACACACACACGCGCTCTCTCACTCACTCACACACGCGCTCTCTCACTCACACACACGCGCGCTCTCACTCACTCACACACACGCGCTCTCTCTCACTCACTCACACACGCGCTCTCTCACTCACACACACGCGCTCTCTCACTCACTCACACACGCGCTCTCCACACTCACACACTCACTCACACACACGCGTTCTCTCACTCACTCACACACGCGCTCTCTCACACACACACGCGCTCTCTCACTCACACACACGCGCGCTTCTCTCACTCACTCACACACACACGCGCTCTCTCACACTCACACACTCACTCACTCACACACGCGCTCTCTCACTCACTCACACACGCTCTCTCTCACTCACACACACACGCTCTCTCACTCACACACACACACGCTCTCTCACTCACACACACACGCGCTCTCTCACTCACACACACACGCTCTCTCACTCTCACACACACGCTCTCTCACTCACACACACACGCGCTCTCTCACTCACACACACACGCTCTCTCACTCACACACACACGCGCGCTCTCTCTCACTCACTCACACACACGCGCTCTCTCACTCACTCACACACGCGCTCTCTCACACACACACGCGCTCTCTCACTCACTCACACACGCGCTCTCTCACACACACACGCGCTCTCTCACTAACACACACACGCTCTCTCACTCACTCACACACGTGCTCTCTCACACACACACGCGCTCTCTCACTAACACACACACGCTCTCTCACTCACTCACACACGCGCTCTCACACACGCGCTCTCACACACACGCGCTCTCTCACTCACTCACACACGCGCTCTCTCACACACACATGCGCTCTCTCACTCACACACACGCGCGCTCTCTCACTCACTCACACACACGCGCTCTCTCACACTCACACACTCACTCACTCACACACGCGCTCTCTCACTCACTCACACACACGCGCTCTCTCACTCACTCACACACGCGCTCTCTCACACACACACACGCTCTCTCACTCACACACACACGCGCTCTCTCACTCACTCACACACACTCGCTCTCTCACTCACTCACACACGCGCTCTCTCACTCACTCACACACACGCACTCTCTCACTCACTCACACACGCTCTCTCACTCACACACACACGCGCTCTCTCACTCACTCACACACGCGCTCTCTCACTCACACACACACGCTCTCTCACTCACTCACACACGCGCTCACTCACTCACACACACGCGCTCTCTCACTCACTCACACACGCGCTCTCTCACACACACACGCGCTCTCTCACTCACACACACGCGCTCTCTCACTCACACACACGCGCTCTCTCACTCACTCACACACGCGCTCTCTCACACACACACGCGCTCTCTCACTCACTCACACATGCGCTCTCTCACTCACACACACACGCGCTCTCTCACACACTCACGCTCTCTCACTCACTCACACACACGCGCGCTCTCACACACTCACGCTCTCTCACTCACTCACTCACACACACGCGCTCTCTCACACACTCACGCTCTCACTCACTCACACACGCGCTCTCTCACTCACTCACACACACGCGCGCTCTCTCACTCACTCACACACGCGCTCTCTCACACACACGCGCGCTCTCTCACACACACGCGCTCTCTCACTCACTCACACACGCGCTCTCTCACACACACACACGCGCTCTCTCACTCACTCACACACGCGCTCTCTCACACACACACGCGCTCTCTCTCACTCACACACACGCTCGCTCTCTCACTCACACACACACACGCGCTCTCTCACTCACACACACACGCTCTCTCACTCACTCACACACGCGCTCACTCACTCACACACACGCGCTCTCTCACTCACTCACACACGCGCTCTCTCACACACACACGCGCTCTCTCACTCACACACACGCGCTCTCTCACTCACACACACGCGCTCTCTCACTCACTCACACACGCGCTCTCTCACACACACACGCGCTCTCTCACTCACACACACACGCTCTCTCATTCACTCACACACGCGCTCTCACTCACACACACACACGCGCTCTCTCACACACTCACGCTCTCTCACTCACTCACACACACGCGCACTCTCACACACTCACGCTCTCTCACTCACACACACACGCGCTCTCTCACACACTCACGCTCTCTCACTCACTCACACACACGCGCTCTCACACACACGCGCTCTCTCACTCTCTCACACACACGCTCTTTCACTAACTCTCTCTCACTCTCACACTCTCTAAGTAAATATTTAAACGGATCCTTTAAGCCCAAAAGTATTTCTTTCCTTCCAAAAACAAGTGAAAAGGTCATTACTTGATCATAAACGACATGTGCATCAGGAACGGAACCAAACGGGATCACAACAACCCCTACATCAATCTGAGGTAGATCCCGACTGAACGCTTGCTGTTTTTAGTAGATCTAGGTTTGCTAAAGTCTGGGCACCCCTGACCTACATAACAACAAAGACCCTAGATACACAGAGATGCGTTTCCATGGCAACAGCAAACTCACTTCCTCTGAATCAGCAGCGCGATCTCCGTCTGCACTTTCAGGTATTCTTGAGCCATTTTACAGTGCTGCTCGAACACCGCCATCGATTCTTTAGAGTTAGGACACGGAGCCAGCGGCTGGAAGCAACACAACTGTTTAAAACACACACACACACACACAAAAGGAAACTAGACACACAACAGTCGGAGCACCTGCAGCTGGTGGTCCAAGGTCAGATACGCCATCGGGATGGAGTTGTCTGAGCCGTTGGTGTCTGAAGGAGCAGAGGGAGAGGTCGGACTGAGGCAGACCAGAGACCAGAGACCAGAGACCAGAGACCAGAGACCAGAGACCAGAGACCAGAGACCAGGACAAGACCAGAAACTAGAGAACAGGAAGGGACCAGGGACCAGGGACCAGGGACCAGAGACCAGAGACCAGAGACCAGAGACCAGAGACCAGAGACCAGAGACCAGAGACCAGAGACCAGGGACCAGAGACCAGAGACCAGAGACCAGGGACCAGAGACCAGAGACCAGAGACCAGAGACCAGAGACCAGGGACCAAGGACCAAGGACCAGAGACCAGAGACCAGGACAAGACCAGAAACTAGAGAACAGGAAGGGACCAGAGACCAGAGAGTTCTACCTGAACCATCGTCTGGAGAGCAGTAGGCTCTGTTACTGGTCTTGTCTGAGGGCAGCATCCGCACACTCGGACTGGAAGAGCGGCTGCTGTTCCTGCTTCCCTGGTAATGTAGAATAATAAAACATTTTACTTCTTGTGTCAAGGGAAAGTAAGATAAATATATTCTGCAACACGCTAACAGTAGTATTTATTTCAAACATATTCTGAATACACTTTAACAGACAGAAATACAGTTTATGATTGCCTAGTGATTACTGATGTGGACAAAAATAACGTTTACGCTGTGATAGATGCTTGTTGAATGATTTAAATGTATTTTCTGTCAACCGGAATTAAAGAGTTTTTTGGCACGCACACAGATAGACACACTCCCTCCCTCTTTCTACACACACACACACACTCTCTTTCTACACATACACTTCCCACACACACACACACACACAAACACCCTCTTCCCACACACACACACCTCTTCCTACACACACACACCCACCCTCTTCCTACACACCCCCTCTTCCCACACACCCTCTTTTCCTACACACACACACACACCCTCTTCCTACACACACACACACACACACACATACTCTTCCTACACACACAGTCTCTTTCTATACACTCTTCCCACACACACCCTTTCTCACTGAGGGCCTCACACACTCTTCCGTGTACTTAAACATTGTTTTAACTGAATCATATTTGACCACGTTTTTAAATCCTCTGATAATGCATTCTGAACAGCAGCTCCACTGGGACACACCGAGAGTGATTCTACATTTAGTCACTTCTCTGTTTGCTTCCCCTAAAACTGTAATCATTATATTATTCATTCTCTATTGTTAATCCTTCTTCAGAAGCAATGATCATGATGTAAACAGTAGCTAAAGTTTTGCAGTTAGAAGTAAGCCGGAGAGAGGGTGCGGAGGTGAACTCTGCATGAACCGACAGCTACAGCAGTTTTTTGGATTTGAAGTGATGTTTGTAAAAGCGGCAGCAGCTCGCGGCCACAGAACACATCACAAAGTCTGTTTAAGGAGAGAGCGCCTCGGCTTTTCCTCCATCTGCGGTTTGAGCCTCCACCAGCTACATTTAAAGCATCCCACAATCTTTGACTTTAAGTCCCGGGGGATTTGTGGGTTTTTGATAAATGCTGCGGCGGTTTCTTGGAGCAAAGAATTAACTAGAAATGAAAAAAAAAGGAAATGGGTGGAAGGAAAGGCTTTCTTTTACTGAGATGGGTCTGTTCTGAATGTGCAGTAGGGCTGGATCAGACACTATAATTTATCTTATTCTCAAAGCAGCATTTCTTCTGCCTAACTTGGGAAGAAATGGACTTGTTTCTGTTTGCTTCACCCGTTTGTCACCTCCTCCTCCCCTCACCCTGGTGAACCTTGAATCTGGTCTCCTCCCAGTGGGTCGTGCCCAGAAGGCGGGTCCAGGAGGCGTACCAAACAGAGTCACCTCAACTGGCTTCTCTCAACGTGGAGAAGCAGCGACTCTACCCTGAGCTCCTCTCTCTATCTCTGAGGGACCAGCGACTGTGCAGACTCGTATGGACCACTTGTATCCGCAATCTCGTCCTTTTGCTCACTACCCAAAGCTAACGACACAGGTAATATGTTTAACAATTTCACATCAACGTTTCTTCAACTTTAACAAATGATTATCAGACATAAACACAACTATCGGATCAGTTGAGGGGGTTGCACTCATGTGAACCACTGACCCTGACCCACTCATGGACAAACCTGGCTGGAGTCATTGCAGAAGGCGGGTAGATCCTGGACAGAGCGCCGCCGCTGGGCCTCGCACGTGGCTGTGGAGGAGACAGACTTAAGTGACTGAGAGAGTCCACTGTAAGGATGGGGTCCGTACTTTCAAAGACAACAGTTACCACACAAGTTACTACAGCTGGACTCTAGGCTCGCATAGGCTATCACGTGCTTGTGCTGGTACTGCCCCCAAGCCCTCAAACCTTGCATCAGTGTACAACTTTAATGGCTGAGAGACATCTGCACAAGCTAATATGGGGGTATTTAACCGTGGGGTCTTAAGCTGGTCAAATGCTTTCGATTTCTTCATCACACACAGCAGAGAATCCCAGGTCTCTGAAAACACGGGGACACAACTAAAAACCATACATCTAGAGCATTTAAGGTCAAAAGAAACACATGTAAAACACATTGAAATGATGCCGTTTGCGTTTGATTAACTGGAACAAAACAATTCACTGATTAGAAAAAGACTTGTGGATCACACACATCAATCTGGAAAAGCTCCCATAGTAAAGTTGAGTTGAAGTAGTGACAGATGCAGACAATAGAGCTGGAACAGTAAGCAGGTCCTCTGTGCTGCCACCAATCATGATTCTATTCTAATTTTAAAACCAGGTTTGTATTAAAACTGTCAAATGCTGCTACTGTTCCACATCTACTGCTGCCACTCAAGTTCATGCAAAATCAGTCTAATACACCCAGTTTTACTCCTTGATTTTAATTATTGTTTTTTCCCCCATGTTGTACCGCTGTAGTTTCAAATATATAATATGCTCATACCTTCAAATGTGAGAAACACATAATGGTGGTTTTAGCTCGAGTTAATGCATGTACTGAGAACAACAGGGGATGCAGAGGAGAGCACACAGAGGAGAGGACATGGGGGAGACGTCATCACTTCTGGGTCCATTAAAACCTGCCCTTTGTGTTTTACTGTTAAATTATGTTATAAAATTATGTGTTTGTAAGAAGTGATGACAGCTTACTCCATGTGTCGTTTAGGAATCACACAAAACACAGATGCAGATGAGTGTCACTTCAAAATGTCGGGATCCTGAAGAAGTCTGAGGTCGTGTGTTGTGTTTGAGGGCCAGCTCCGGGTAGAGGTGCCTAAGACCAGACTTCAAACCCAGAGCACAGGGCCTTCTCTGTGGTCTCAAACCCAGAGCACAGGGCCTTCTCTGTGGTCTTAAACCCAGAGCACAGGGCCTTCTCTATGGTCTTAAACCCAGAGCACAGGGCCTTCTCTGTGGTCTTAAACCCAGAGCACAGGGCCTTCTCTGTAGTCTCAAACCCAGAGCACAGGGCTTTCTCTGTGGTCCTAAACCCAGAGCACAGGGCCTTCTCTGTGGTCTTAAACCCAGAGCACAGGGCCTTCTCTGTGGTCCTGAACCCAGAGCACAGGGCCTTCTCTGTGGTCCTGAACCCAGAGCACAGGGCCTTCTCTGTAGTCTCAAACCCAGAGCACAGGGCCTTCTCTGTGGTCCTAAACCCAGAGCACAGGGCCTTCTCTGTGGTCTTAAACCCAGAGCACAGGGCCTTCTCTGTGGTCCTGAACCCAGAGCACAGGGCCTTCTCTGTGGTCCTGAACCCAGAGCACAGGGCCTTCTCTGTGGTCTTAAACCCAGAGCACAGGGCCTTCTCTGTGGTCTTGAACCCAGAGCACAGGGCCTTCTCTGTGGTCCTGAACCCAGAGCACAGGGCCTTCTCTGTGGTCTTAAACCCAGAGGACAGGGCCTTCTCTGTGGTCTTAAACCCAGAGCACAGGACCTTCTCTGTGGTCTCAAACCCAGAGCACAGGGCCTTCTCTGCGGTCTCAAACCCAGAGCACAGGGCCTTCTCTGTAGTCTCAAACCCAGAGCACAGGGCCTTCTCTGTGGTCTCAAACCCAGAGCACAGGGCCTTCTCTGTAGTCTCAAACCCAGAGCACAGGGCCTTCTCTGTGGTCTCAAACCCAGAGCACAGGGCCTTCTCTGTGGTCTTAAACCCAGAGCACAGGGCCTTCTCTGTAGTCTCAAACCCAGAGCACAGGGCCTTCTCTGTGGTCTCAAACCCAGAGCACAGGGCCTTCTCTGTAGTCTCAAACCCAGAGCACAGGGCCTTCTCTGTGGTCTCAAACCCAGAGCACAGGGCCTTCTCTGTGGTCTTAAACCCAGAGCACAGGGCCTTCTCTGTGGTCTTAAACCCGGGGCAGATGTGTTACATTAGTATTTGTGTTGTGTACATTCATATAAGAATGTGTGTGTCAGTGCGAGCCCGTCCCTCGGTGCTCTGCCCTAGTACATGTTTATCATTACATGTTTATTATTATGTTTATTCTTCATGCCTGTTACAATAACTGAATATTTATGGTTCATTATCCAACAAAAAAAACATAAGGGTGACATATTATTCTAAAGACTTTAAAACCTTTCAGAAGTGACACACAAACAGCCATGCGAAACCAGCGTAGCTAAACCAGCGTAGCTAAACCAGCGTAGCTAAACCAGCGTAGCTAAACCAGCGTAGCTAAACCAGCGTAGCTAAACCAGCGTAGCTAACCCAGCGTAGCTAAATCAGCGTAGCTAAATCAGCGTAGCTAAATCAGCGAAGCAAAGCCTGCTCCTCGACTCCCAGCGGAGCCTCGGGGTCCAGTGATACCTGTCACGACGATCTTGGGGATGTCCAGAATGGTGCCATATGAAGCAGTTTTGCGGTGGCCTCGTTTATACTGTGGCCGTGCTGTGGAGAACACAAACAGCTACTACACAGAGCATGCAGACGCAGACGCAGACGCAGATGCAGACTCAGACGTGGCCGCACTCAGACCGCCGCATGTGTCAGTGCAACAACATGCGGGACGTGGCAGGAGGCATGCACTCATCCAGCCACACACACACACGGCCAGGAGCGGGCACAGACACAGCAGGCTTCTGAGGCACTGACGGTGAGTGAGAGCACAGACACAGCAGGCTTCTGAGGCACTGACGGTGAGTGAGAGGACAGACACAGCAGGCTTCTGAGGCACTGACGGTGAGTGAGAGCACAGACACAGCAGGCTTCTGAGGCACTGACGGTGAGTGAGAGGACAGACACAGCAGGCTTCTGAGGCACTGACGGTGAGTGAGAGCACAGACACAGCAGGCTTCTGAGGCACTGACGGTGAGTGAGAGGACAGACACAGCAGGCTTCTGAGGCACTGACGGTGAGTGAGAGCACAGACACAGCAGGCTTCTGAGGCACTGACGGTGAGTGAGAGGACAGACACAGGCAACAGCCACAGCTTCTTCTACAGCGGACTGAGAACGAGAGGTCCACTGTGGTACTTTCTCACTAGAATTATTCAACATGGACCCGAGAAGGTTTATAATTACTTGTGGTTTTAATTGTGTTTTTAATAGTCTACGTCAGGCATTTTTGTGGCCCCTAAAAATAATTTAAAATTATTATTATTATTGTCTTACAGCATTGATGGTTAATACCAAGGCGTGTCATACATGCTATATCAAATCTAATATTAACCCAACACATCAATAGAAGTTAAATATAAAACAATGTGGCTGTGTTTAGACACCGGCATTCGATTACTATACTAATATGTGTCGCTTCTACACACTTCCAGTTGTGTGCCACATTGAGCTAATCTTTCACAAAAGAAGGAAAGGTTCATGGGGAACCTGGAGCACCCCCAGTGCACATGGTGTCTTGTGCAGTGGGGGTTGAATTGCTGTAATAGGCTAAGTCAGAACTATAGCTGTAATAGACCTGACGGATACAAAAGCGAAAGAATTATACAACTTTTAAGGTTGTATAAGAGAAAGCTAAATCCTAAAAGAGTTGTATTTCCTTAATGTTGGATAATATGAAATACAGTCACCATCTGGAACACGAACCCAAACGTAGATAAAAGGGGTTGAGGCTAAGCTAACCTTCTGTTATGGTGCATGTGTTTTTTACCTGCAGAAGCAAACGTCATCTTCGGCTCTAACTCGGAGAGGTCTGCGCTCATTCTCTTGTCAGCAGCGGCCGGGCCCTGCGTTCTCACCGGCAGGCTCTCCACACTGCCCCCTCTGGACAAAGGCAGGGTCCTGAGCGGGTCTCCCTGAAGGCACACAGGACAGTCGAGCATTACCATCACTTTTCAGATACTGTGCAACTGTTTAAATCTTACTGTAGGCCGCGGTACAAGGCCCAGCTGTGGACTCACAGGAGATCCAGTCTGCACAGGCCGCACAATGATGCAGGGAGAGAGACCAGAGAGAGACAGACCAGAGAGAGAGATATAGGAGAGACTAGAGAGAGACCAGAGAGAGACCAGAGAGAGACCAGAAAGACTAGAGAGAGACCAGAGAGAGACCAGAAAGACTAGAGAGAGACCAGAGAGAGACAGACCAGAGAGAGAGATCAAGGAGAGAGACTAGAGAGAGACCAGAGAGAGACCAGAGAGAGACCAGAAAGACTAGAGAGAGACCAGAAAGACTAGAGAGAGACCAGAGAGAGACAGACCAGAGAGAGACCAGAGAGAGACCAGAAAGACTAGAGAGAGACCAGAGAGAGACAGACCAGAGAGAGAGATATAGGAGAGACTAGAGAGAGACCAGAGAGAGACCAGAAAGACTAGAGAGAGACCAGAGAGAGAGATCAAGGAGAGAGACTAGAGAGAGACCAGAGAGAGAGATCAAGGAGAGAGACTAGAGAGAGACCAGAGAGAGACCAGAGAGAGACCAGAGAGAGAGATCAAAGAGAGACTAGAGAGAGACAGAGAGAGGGACCAGAGAGACCAGAGAGAGAGACCAGAGAGAGACAACAAAGAGAGACAAGAGAAAGAAAGACCAGAGAGAGACCAGAGAAAGACAAGAGAGAGACCAGAGAGAGACCAGAGAGAGACCAGAGAGAGACCAGAGAGAGACCAGAGAGAGACCAGAGAGAGACCAGAGAGGCCAGAGACAGGCCAGAGACCAGAGAGAGACTAGAGAGACCAGACTGGATTCCTAACCAAGATGTGGACAAACTCATAATTGTTTGTTTGTGAATTCTTGTCAAAATTGGACCTATAGAGTCTGCTCTAAAGTTAAATTGAGTCTGTCTCAGGTTTTCTTGCCTTTGGTCTGAAGTGAGGAGCGAACTGAGGCGTGATCTTGATGGTGTCGTTGCTCCCTTGAGAGTCACTGTGCTCCATGTTGGCGTCGCTCCTGTTGCTTGTGTTGGTGCTGGTGTATTCCACATAAGACCCTTAAATGCAACACAAAGTGGGTTAATTGAACTGCAAACAAACAGTGTATTGTTAACACCAGCACAAATACAGATTCTACTACCAGAGCTGGTGGCTGAGTTGCTTTGGCCTTCATCTGAATACAGGTACGGGTACTGCAAGGGCTCTTCTGATCCGGGGAAGAACTGTCAAGAACAACAAACATGGCCGTTTTATAAAGTGCAAGATCACTCCACCACATCTTCTATTGTGTATTCAACCTCTGTCAGGGTGCTGGCTCTTTGTCCAAATTAAAATTCCAGACTTATTAAAAACTGATTTTTTCCCCAAGACCTCAACTATATGTACTTGTAAACGTGTGCGCCAACTGACTTCAAAAACACACAACGACCCATTTCTGTTGACCACTAGAATAGCTACGTGTCAATAGACCTCAGTGACATCACAAACATGTGCCAGACCAGGCTAAGCTAGCGTTGGATATTATTCAGGCTAATACAGAACATGACCAGTTAGTACCATTATAGTTTTATAGCCTACCATCCTATTTGTTTCACAACGCCTTTGAGCACACTGTAAAAGTCTACTAGGGCTGGGCAATAGATCAAATTTAGGCAATTAATCAGCTTTTGAAAAAAATTGAATTTGTGAAAAATGTGAAAATTGTGAAATCCAATGAAGGATATTATGACAGTTCCAGCAGCACATGAATTATACTTGCAATTTCAGCACAGTCTGTACAAGACTTTTATAATACGTATTGGGGGAAACAAAGAAAAAGACAAAGTTTTGAAACTTGAATATTGAGATCATTTTGTCCCGAGGAAGCACAGGGGTTAAACTCAGAAACAGAGAATGGCGCTCACCTTCATCAGATGGGTCATGATCTTGACGATCTCCTCCATAGAGGGTCTTTGTGACGGGTCTTTGGACCAGCAGCGTGTCATCAGACTCTCTATGGGCTTAGGTAAGCCCTTGATTAAAGGGGGTCTGGTGCCTGATAAATGGAAAAAAAAAAATGTCCATTATCTGTGTTGTGTCTGTATCGTGTTAGTATTGAATTACTGTGTGTACTGTTCTACTGCATAATATTATCATTCTATTCACTCCATACACGGTGGTGATAAACTACTACTGTAGCCACAGCTGCCCTGGGGCACACTGACAGAAGCGAGGCAACCAGTCTGTGCCATCGGCCCCTCCCACCACCACCAACCAGTCACACACACACCAGACCAGGGCTGCACGATATTGGAAATTAGAGCGATATAAGTGTTTAGCAATAACAATATTATTGTTATTTTTTTGTCTTTCGCCTAAAATTACAATCTGCATTGAAAAGCAAGAGACGAATAACAAACAATAAGCACAAAATTAATGACATTCAAATTAGGGATGTAAAAAACTATGAATTTTCATGACCGACCACCGAGCCTCATTAACCGGTTGAAACCGGTTAACCGCGTAGTTTAAAATAGTCCACGTTCTTTGAAATAACAGCCATTTTGAGCCGCGTACTTTTCATAAGTGCAGCTGAGCGTTCTACGGGATCAGAGCCGAGACAGCGGCGCCCAAACCCGCAACAGCTCCGGCACCTTTGCGCACAGAGAACTGCTTTTTTAATCTTCCCATTCTGCTGTGCTGCGGGTTAATACCAAAACTTTCTAGCAGCAAACGACGGCTCGTCCACATGGTCAGAGCAGCGAGTGACGAGCCGCGTCTCACAGGTCTTCACAAAAGTTTAAATACAAGTGATGTGTGTGGAGCTGATCCCGAGGACCATAAACACAAACATGTTCCATGTGGTTTGACTGGAGCCGCGTATTTGCGCGAATCCTTTGGGCTCCGTGACACAGAGGAGCGCGACAGACCGGTATGTGTGTGTGTATGTGTGTATGTATGTGTGTATGTGTATGTATATGTGTGTAAATGTAAGCTCCAATGTAGTTCTGACCCGCGCCAGTGTGCAACTTTGACGGTAACAGAGGAGAGAGATGATGCGTGTGGCTCGTGCGGCGTGAGAGTCGTCCCGGAGTTTATAATACATGGGCGCACACAGCTAGATATGGACCCGCTCGTCACACCGTGCAAATAGGGCTTAAAATAGCGTTATTAAGAGACCTCCCCTCTCCCCTTTTCTCTTTTTTAACCGACAGCTTTGACCGGTTAACGCTGTGACGGTCAACCACCGGTTAAACGGTCGCCGATTTACATCCCTAATTCAAATGCATATATTTACATTTTTGTTTTTGTTGAATGTTGATGTGTCCTTTTTGTTGCCTTAAATAAAGGAAAATAATACAAATAAAATTATCACGTATCTTTTCTATATGGATATCGCTGGTACCAATATCAAAATAACAATATTTTCTCAATATATCCTGCAGCCCTACACCACACTGATTCTAATGTGGGTTAAGTGTCTTGCCTAAGGACACAACCACAGTTTGGCACTTTACAGCCGACCCACTGTGGCACCTGCTGTTCCCAGAGGTCTCCCATCACAGCACAAACCAGGCCCTACCCTGCTTAGCTTCCGATGTCTGTCGAGATTTAGCTTTCACATCACATTTATAACGGTTGAACCATGCACTTTCTGTCTGTTATATTGTTATAAAATATGTGTTGATATTTTGGGTCTGAAATAACTAAATGAAAAAGTACAAATGTAACGGCGGCCTCTCTTCGAGCCAGAGCAGGTCTCTCTCTGCGTCGGACTCACCGTTGTGCACGGCCCACATGATGCGAAACGCCGGACCTCCGATCTCGTCGAAGGGTTTCCGGCGAGTGATGACCTCCCACAGAATGATGCCCCAGCTGAACACATCACACTTCTCGCTATAATTGCTGCCTGGCAGAAACAGAGCGAGAGCAAAATGGAACTTAGGTGCTTTTAAAGGCAGTCGAGGAGATTGATTTATGATCCCATACAGTAATCATCCACAACACGTTTGGGGAACCACTACGGGAGAGTTCATATGAGGGAGAGACCGGAGAACTGCTGGGGACTAGTTTAATTATTCTGCTTATTAGAGATCGGGTTTCAGAGCGGCGTTTCACACTGATCCAAATGACTTTTATGGAGTTCAGTGGGAGGGTAATGGTTCACTGTTGGATTACAAGAGTCTTGCTAGATCCAGCATTCATTGACTGAGCAGAAAGTAAGTTCTAATCTATGACAGGGATGTTCAAAGTTGAATCACTGAGAGCTGATATTGACGCTATATTATTGTTATTATTATTATGTGTGGCTTGTGAGAAGGGGATTGGACTCAAAGATTTTATCAAACCTTTTACAATACAACAACAATAAAATGTATTCTTGTATTTTCCTAAATCACAACAGCATCATCTCAGAGACTTCACAAAACCATTGAAATCACCACAGATCAGAGAATAAACAGTTAATACACAAAAAAATACACATATGAATTGGTCCATAGGAGAGACCAGTGTCCATGAATGTTGATAAATGTCATACATGTTGTAGAATGTTAAAGTGTCCTGGATCATCACAAACCTTCTTCTTAGACACTAACTGCCCAACAGAGCCTCCTGCATCAGAGGAAAAACTCTAAAACCCAGTGGAAAAAAGTGAGAAACCTCAGGGAGACCCACATATTGAGAAAGGGATCTGCTCCACACAGACGGACGGGCTGAAGATCCAGGACTCGGACTGTAGAACGAGGACTGAGGCTGTAGATCCAGGACTCGGACTGTAGAACGAGGACTGAGGCTGTAGATCCAGGACTCAGACTGTAGAACGAGGACTGAGGCTGTAGATCCAGGACTCAGACTGTAGAACGAGGACCGAGGCTGTAGATCCAGGACCTAAGCTACAGAACGTGGACAGGTCCGGTGCAGGACTGAAGCAGCTCCAGGCGGGTCGGGCAGGGCAGTCCGCAGGTGTAGATGGAGGAGGCCAGGTTCAGAGGTCCCGTTGTTGCACCCTTTGCAAACCGTGTATTTGTCTGTTATATTGATATATGCGTTGAAATAATCTAAATTAATAGATGAATTCAGGCCTTCAATGGAAACCTTTAAAAGGATGATTCATATTTATTCTAAATGACTATTGTTGGAGACACTGAGAGTTCTAAGTCTCTAGTTTGGTCTATGTGCTGCAGAATCTCAATAGGATCCGTGTACAAGTCATTTAACGTAGGGTCGCTTGTGTGGCCTCTTCATGGCTCCAAAAACAACACCCGCTTAACCAAATACGCCATCTTCGCTTGTAGCAAATATGGAACATGCCAAAAGATGCATACAGTGAAGTCAAAAGCACAATGACCAAACCAAAGAAGATCACTGCAGTTTGTTGCGGTCCCCAAGACGGTCATATTATTACGAGTCGGGCGGAGTTCACAGAGAGGGTAGGTGCGCACAAGAGCCTAGTATTTCAGCTACAAAATGGTCAGACCTTATTCATTATAGCCGCTCCCTCTCGCCCAAGAACATGAACATGGCTCACAACACTTTAGGATCCCAGATGAAGAGCAAATCCACGGCGCGGAGTTCCAGGGGAAATAAAGCCATGGTAACTCTTCATTCATCTTAGCACAATGCCTCCCAATGTTCCGCCGCTGAGAACCCTGCTGATCCATCAACAACTAATGTTCTAATGCCGGAGCAATTGGTGCAGTTAAGGAGAGAGCTGGGACAGTCCGCTCGCTGGGTCCAGGCAGACAGAGCCTCTGGCATCATGACTGATACTATAGTCTCATAGTATGCAATAACAATTTATTATGTTAACTTAAAATACACTATAAAACAGGGGGGTCCAACCATGATGGAGAGCTAGTGCTTTTACCCAGTTGACATAATGTTTAATACATGTTAAAAAAACATGTATTAAAACTATGCTTCGGCACTAGAGCATACACGGAATCTGGACGGAAGTGGAAGGAAATATAACCAACTACCTAAACTAATAGATCCATGCCTAACCTTAAGCCATTCCCATAGAATAACCCCAACCCACCTTAACCCTAACCTTAACCATCTTACTCAGACCACCTTAACCCTAACCTTAACCATCTTACTCAGACCACCTTAACCCTAACCTTAACCATCTTACTCAGACCCACCTTAACCATCTTACTCAGACCCACCTTAACCTTAACCATCTTACTCAGACCCACCTTAACCCTAACCTTAACCATCTTACTCAGACCCACCTTAACCCTAACCTTAACCATCTTACTCAGACCACCTTAACCCTAACCTTAACCATCTTACTCAGACCACCTTAACCCTAACCTTAACCATCTTACTCAGACCACCTTAACCCTAACCTTAACCATCTTACTCAGACCACCTTAACCCTAACCTTAACCATCTAACTCAGACCACCTTAACCATCTTACTCAGACCACCTTAACTCAAAATGTTTTCTAATTAATGTAAGCAAACTAGGATCATTTCTGTCTTTTTTTGTTGTGTTAAACCAATAAAACAATCCATCATCATTTATAAGTGCAAAAAGTTAGGCATTTTACTCATACAATTATTATTTGGGGAGCTACTTTGAAGAAGATAGCGAGCTACAGATAGCTCCTGAGCCATAGGTTGTGTACCCGTGTTTACTCAACACAGTAAAGTATGTTATAGAGCAGAGGCAAAGGAAATGGGACCAAACGTGAAATAAGAACCTCATTCCAGTCTTTGATGGAATTCCGGTCATACCTTCAAATACTTCTGGGGCCATCCACGCCGCGCTGCCTTTGTTATTAGTCATGTGTGTCTGAATATCGCAGGCCGTTCCAAAGTCACAGATCTTGAGCACTGTGCCTCCAGCAACTAAGAGAAGGCTGAAACAAGAGCGGAACAAAGGCTTTAAGCAATGTTAGTGAGTTTTAAATAAGTTTAGATGTTTAACAGGGCACTTTTTTTTTATTGTTTTGAATTGTTATTGCCATCTGTCATGAGTTGATAGACGTTGAAATAATACAACAGGTTTAACAGTTTAAACAGAGCACTTTAATGATCTCGCACTAGTATTGAATCAAACTCAAGAGTAACAATTGTGTCTGTACTTTTAGCATTAGCAGTATTCCAATATGATTTTACTGCAGATCAGGAAGCAAACTGTGTCTTCCTAATAGAGATGTTTGTAGCTGTATACAATTGTAATGATGTAATTGATATGTATATTTTGGGGGAAATACACAGATCATAAAATCAACAATTAATTTCATAGCAGGACACACCTTTCAATCGAAAACAAAATAAACCATGTTGGAAGTAGTTTTGCTGAAGAGTATTATAGCTTGAGGGACACATACTTGGGTGGTTTGAGGTCCCGGTGGATCAGGGCCTTTGGTTTCATGCCGTGCAGGTAGAACACTCCCTGAGCACATTGTAAACACCAACTCATGGCGTGAGACGCGGCGTAGACGGGGAGGGGCTCGGCGCCGTGCAACACTGGACAACACAACACAGTGAGACGAGTACAGCTCAGAACACATACAACACATGGTGCCGTTTAGACAAATTACTATACACTGTTACATGAGGAGGAAGCTTTTCAGATCCAAAAAGCTGAAAATATGAGACAGGCTTCTTCTCTGACAATGTTTAAATCCAGGTTAAAAACAGTTCTGGTTCCATCTTGTTTTGTTAAGAAATACATACACACACTCACACACACACACACACACGAACTGTGCTACACATATAAACTTTCCTGGCACTGCCTATACCTGTTGTGCAGGTGTTCACTAAAGTTGCACACTTACTTCTGGTTTGATTTTAACTGTATTAGAAATCACAGAATTCTAGGTTTTACTACTACTGCTCATGTTATCTCACTATTATGTCATAATTTTACTAATTTAAATCAGACTCTGCAATGAGTGAATAATGTACCATTGTAAAGTGATCCACCTTCAGCATATTCCATAACAAGGCAGACCTGGAAACACAATGGGGGAAAGTTATTCTTCTAGAGCATAACTTTAATCTAAATGATTTCCAAAGTCAGACTTACAGGATTATTGCAGGACCCATACAACTTCACAATATTGGGGTGGTTAACACGGGACAGCTGCCTCAGCTGGAGACAGGTACCAAACATTACTGTCTGTGCAAACCATGACAAGAAAACAATCATGACAGTGTACCTCAACCACGAAGGCTTTTCGCTCGGATTCACTCTCAATAGTTTTAATGGCCACATCCTTTCCTTTCCATTTGGCTTTACAAACAACCCCAAAAGCCCCTCTGCCCACCACCTGCAAGCACACAGTAAAGACACAGGGTTATGACCAGCTGTAAACAAATGGATATCATCTTAGAACAGGAAAACACACCTCTTCAACTTCAATATCCTCATAATTGATCTCTTCAAAGGGATATCCAGGTGGAGTTTCTAGCATCTCGGCAGATGGAGCAGTCACAGACATTACTACCTCAGATGTTTGGATGTTGATGCAGTGTAACCAAACTAATACTGCACCTCGCAGGGATTATAACAAGTCATTTTACGCTTTCAAACAACAGTCACATCAATTCCGCAATTTCTGAGAAACTGTCAAGATGAAAACCATTAAAATAAATCTAAAAACCCTGGACGAAAGCAAAGATAGCTCACAAGCTAACTGGGCTAGCTCATCTAAACAGTAAATTATTTAGTTAATAATGTCTCAGATTAGAATGGTGTTCATACAGTACTGTCCCATTGTGTCTGTGGGCTGTTTAATCCACCCGACTTCAGCAGACCACGAAATATGATCCATGTTTGGAACTCACAGCAAGTTTGTGGCTGTTAGCAGACTGGCCTGGATGCTAACCTGATGCTAACGCTAGTTTAGCTGAGATTAGCTGAGATTAGCCGAGATTAGCTGAGATTAGCTGAGATTAGCCATTAGCTCGAGTCCAGTTCTTCGCAGTTGGCTTGAATGCGCCTCCGAGAGTCACATGAAGAGATCCTCCGCTGTTCATGAGCGGGGGTCAAAGGGTCGTGTGGTGTCTTAAAAACAATAGTTGTAGATCCATATGACAGCCAGGGACAACTTTTTCATAACTCATCTGACAGCTCGGATGTATTTTTGTGCTTCGCAGGAGGTTCTTCCGGATGTGTGCGCCGCGCTATTCTGTCCCCGCTCAGTCTGCAGATAAGAGTTTCATATTTACAGTCTGCAGAGAAGACTTTCATATTTACAGTCTGCAGAGAAGAGTTTCATGTTTACAGTCTGCAGAGAAGAGTTTCATATTTACAGTCTGCAGAGAGGACTTTCATGTTTACAGTCTGCAGAGAGGAGTTTCATGTTTACAGTCTGCAGAGAAGAGTTTCATATTTACAGTCTGCAGAGAGGACTTTCATGTTTACAGTCTGCAGAGAGGAGTTTCATATTTACAGTCTGCAGAGAGGACTTTCATGTTTACAGTCTGCAGAGAAGAGTTTCATGTTTACAGTCTGCAGAGAAGAGTTTCATGTTTACAGTCTGCAGAGAAGAGTTTCATATTTACAGTCTGCAGAGAGGACTTTCATGTTTACAGTCTGCAGAGAAGAGTTTCATGTTTACAGTCTGCAGAGAAGAGTTTCATATTTACAGTCTGCAGAGAGGACTTTCATGTTTACAGTCTGCAGAGAGGAGTTTCATGTTTACAGTCTGCAGAGAAGAGTTTCATGTTTACAGTCTGCAGAGAAGACTTTCATATTTACAGTCTGCAGAGAGGAGTTTCATGTTTACAGTCTGCAGAGAAGAGTTTCATATTTACAGTCTGCAGAGAAGACTTTCATATTTACAGTCTGCAGAGAAGACTTTCATGTTTACAGTCTGCAGAGAGGAGTTTCATGTTTACAGTCTGCAGAGAAGAGTTTCATATTTACAGTCTGCAGAGAAGAGTTTCATGTTTACAGTCTGCAGAGAAGACTTTCATGTTTACAGTCTGCAGAGAAGAGGTTCATGTTTACAGTCTGCAGAGAAGAGTTTCATATTTACAGTCTGCAGAGAAGACTTTCATGTTTACAGTCTGCAGAGAAGAGGTTCATGTTTACAGTCTGCAGAGAGGAGTTTCATATTTACAGTCTGCAGAGAGGACTTTCATGTTTACAGTCTGCAGAGAAGACTTTCATATTTACAGTCTGCAGAGAGGAGTTTCATGTTTACAGTCTGCAGAGAAGACTTTCATATTTACAGTCTGTAGAGAAGACTTTCATGTTTACAGTCTGCAGAGAGAAGCTTCATGTTTACAGTCTGCAGAGAGGACTTTCATATTTACAGTCTGTAGAGAAGAGTTTCATATTTACAGTCTGCAGAGAAGAGTTTCATGTTTACAGTCTGCAAAGAAGAGTTTCATATTTACAGTCTGCAGAGAAGAGTTTCATGTTTACAGTCTGCAGAGAAGACTTTCATGTTTACAGTCTGCAGAGAAGAGGTTCATGTTTACAGTCTGCAGAGAAGAGTTTCATATTTACAGTCTGCAGAGAAGACTTTCATGTTTACAGTCTGCAGAGAAGAGGTTCATGTTTACAGTCTGCAGAGAGGAGTTTCATATTTACAGTCTGCAGAGAGGACTTTCATGTTTACAGTCTGCAGAGAAGAGTTTCATGTTTACAGTCTGCAGAGAAGAGTTTCATATTTACAGTCTGCAGAGAAGAGTTTCATATTTACAGTCTGCAGAGAAGAGTTTCATATTTACAGTCTGCAGAGAGGAGTTTCATATTTACAGTCTGCAGAGAAGACTTTCATATTTACAGTCTGCAGAGAGGACTTTCATATTTACAGTCTGCAGAGAAGACTTTCATATTTACAGTCTGCAGAGAAGAGTTTCATGTTTACAGTCTGCAGAGAAGACTTTCATGTTTACAGTCTGCAGAGAAGACTTTCATATTTACAGTCTGTAGAGAAGACTTTCATGTTTACAGTCTGCAGAGAGGAGTTTCATATTTACAGTCTGCAGAGAAGAGTTTCATATTTACAGTCTGCAGAGAAGACTTTCATGTTTACAGTCTGCAGAGAGGAGTTTCATGTTTACAGTCTGCAGAGAAGACTTTCATATTTACAGTCTGTAGAGAAGACTTTCATGTTTACAGTCTGCAGAGAGAAGCTTCATGTTTACAGTCTGCAGAGAGGACTTTCATATTTACAGTCTGTAGAGAAGACTTTCATGTTTACAGTCTGCAGAGAGGAGTTTCATGTTTACAGTCTGCAGAGAAGACTTTCATATTTACAGTCTGCAGAGAGGAGTTTCATGTTTACAGTCTGCAGAGAAGACTTTCATATTTACAGTCTGCAGAGAAGAGTTTCATGTTTACAGTCTGCAGAGAAGACTTTCATGTTTACAGTCTGCAGAGAAGAGGTTCATGTTTACAGTCTGCAGAGAAGAGTTTCATATTTACAGTCTGCAGAGAGGACTTTCATGTTTACAGTCTGCAGAGAAGACTTTCATGTTTACAGTCTGCAGAGAGGAGTTTCATGTTTACAGTCTGCAGAGAAGACTTTCATATTTACAGTCTGTAGAGAAGACTTTCATGTTTACAGTCTGCAGAGAGAAGCTTCATGTTTACAGTCTGCAGAGAGGACTTTCATATTTACAGTCTGCAGAGAAGAGTTTCATGTTTACAGTCTGCAGAGAAGAGTTTCATGTTTACAGTCTGCAGAGAAGAGTTTCATATTTACAGTCTGCAGAGAAGACTTTCATATTTACAGTCTGCAGAGAAGAGTTTCATGTTTACAGTCTGCAGAGAAGACTTTCATGTTTACAGTCTGCAGAGAAGAGGTTCATGTTTACAGTCTGCAGAGAAGAGTTTCATATTTACAGTCTGCAGAGAAGAGGTTCATATTTACAGTCTGCAGAGAAGACTTTCATATTTACAGTCTGCAGAGAAGAGTTTCATGTTTACAGTCTGCAGAGAAGAGTTTCATATTTACAGTCTGCAGAGAAGAGTTTTCATATTTACAGTCTGCAGAGAGGACTTTCATATTTACAGTCTGCAGAGAAGACTTTCATGTTTACAGTCTGCAGAGAAGAGTTTCATATTTACAGTCTGCAGAGAAGAGTTTCATATTTACAGTCTGCAGAGAGGAGTTTCATATTTACAGTCTGCAGAGAAGACTTTCATATTTACAGTCTGCAGAGAGGACTTTCATATTTACAGTCTGCAGAGAAGACTTTCATATTTACAGTCTGCAGAGAAGAGTTTCATGTTTACAGTCTGCAGAGAAGACTTTCATGTTTACAGTCTGCAGAGAAGACTTTCATATTTACAGTCTGTAGAGAAGACTTTCATGTTTACAGTCTGCAGAGAGGAGTTTCATATTTACAGTCTGCAGAGAAGAGTTTCATATTTACAGTCTGCAGAGAGGACTTTCATGTTTACAGTCTGCAGAGAAGACTTTCATGTTTACAGTCTGCAGAGAGGAGTTTCATGTTTACAGTCTGCAGAGAAGACTTTCATATTTACAGTCTGTAGAGAAGACTTTCATGTTTACAGTCTGCAGAGAGAAGCTTCATGTTTACAGTCTGCAGAGAGGACTTTCATATTTACAGTCTGCAGAGAAGAGTTTCATGTTTACAGTCTGCAGAGAAGAGTTTCATGTTTACAGTCTGCAGAGAAGAGTTTCATATTTACAGTCTGCAGAGAAGACTTTCATATTTACAGTCTGCAGAGAAGAGTTTCATGTTTACAGTCTGCAGAGAAGACTTTCATGTTTACAGTCTGCAGAGAAGAGGTTCATGTTTACAGTCTGCAGAGAAGAGTTTCATATTTACAGTCTGCAGAGAAGAGGTTCATATTTACAGTCTGCAGAGAAGACTTTCATGTTTACAGTCTGCAGAGAAGAGTTTCATGTTTACAGTCTGCAGAGAAGAGTTTCATATTTACAGTCTGCAGAGAGGAGTTTCATATTTACAGTCTGCAGAGAAGAGTTTCATATTTACAGTCTGCAGAGAGGAGTTTCATATTTACAGTCTGCAGAGAAGACTTTCATATTTACAGTCTGCAGAGAGGACTTTCATATTTACAGTCTGCAGAGAAGACTTTCATATTTACAGTCTGCAGAGAAGAGTTTCATGTTTACAGTCTGCAGAGAAGACTTTCATGTTTACAGTCTGCAGAGAAGACTTTCATATTTACAGTCTGCAGAGAAGAGTTTCATGTTTACAGTCTGCAGAGAAGAGTTTCATATTTACAGTCTGCAGAGAAGAGTTTCATATTTACAGTCTGTAGAGAAGACTTTCATATTTACAGTCTGCAGAGAGGAGTTTCATATTTACAGTCTGCAGAGAAGAGTTTCATATTTACAGTCTGCAGAGAGGAGTTTCATATTTACAGTCTGCAGAGAAGACTTTCATATTTACAGTCTGCAGAGAAGAGTTTCATGTTTACAGTCTGCAGAGAAGACTTTCATGTTTACAGTCTGCAGAGAAG